AAACCCTAAAGGTTCCCTTCTGGTGCTCCGTTGTGCTTGATCTTGCTCCGAATCTCCGCCTACTGTGCGCATAATGGCATAGCCCTAAACCAATGAACCCCAACACCCGTACCCTAAACCCCACACCCACCAACGCCATAAACCTTTACTCCACACTGTAGACCCTCTCGGCACATTCCTTTCTCAGGTCTATGCCGAAGGCTCCGAAATCACGACACCCTAACATGAATCCTGAACCAAAGGGAACTTTAAGAACACTCCTAAAGCCTAAACTCCCAACCCCTAACCACTAAACCCTCCTCACTAAACCCCATCCCCTGAGCCCCAAATACCCTAGACGAATATACCCTCAGCCACTTACCTCAACCCTAAACCCCCTCATGCGACCAGGCGCTGGCTTCGGCAGGAGTCGGCTCCTTCTTGTCCTTGGGGCTCAGGGCTTTAAGACTGTGGAGGTTCATTGTTCACACGACTTTAGAGGTTCAGGGGTGCAAATTCGAGTAACCCGAAAGCTGAAACTTCAAACGTGACCTCTTCATCCGTGAAACCTAAGCCGTAAGCCACAAAGCGCAACAACAAACTCACCCCACAGTCGCAACAAAAACTGATGCTGCAGGCTGGGAAGCTGTGGCCTTTTCCAACTTCTTGTTGGCAAGCCTGGGTGGACGAGTCGTGCTGATGGATCTTAGGTTGCGTGTTGTCCAAGGGATCTGGTACTTATAGGGGGTGAACGGCTCATTGTAGGGCTTGGTTTTCGAAGTCATGGAGTCTTGGGGTTACGGGCTTTGAGGCTTAAGCATCAGGTTCACGAGCAACGGCGTACACAGGTATGCTACACGCATGCAGTATGTGTATAGATGTTTTGATGCATCTCAATCTGCATACATATATATATATATATATATATATATGGTCAGGCGTCTGGCGTTCCCAGCCCCCCCCCCCCCCCCAAATGGTATGGTCTGACAGGGGTGGGGGGGGGGGCCTGGCGTGTGCGGAAAGGGGTTGGGGCCGTTGGAGCTGCCACTGGATGGTGGGGCGGTGCTGGCGGCCAGGGCTCACGCGCAAGCCCTTCGCAAGCAAGCCGTAAACCCTATGACGCAGCGCGTGCCCCGGTTTTGAGCAACCTTAACTTGTACTTAAAACGCTACACCCAACCCTAAACCCCACCTAACTGCAGGCTCTAAGCCTAAAGCAGAGCATACACCGCAAATCCTCCCTAAGCCCTTGTCGACTCGAAGCCTTATACCTTGTAGCCGTAAACCCAAAACTCAAAAGCTTAAGCTAAACCCCAAACCCCAAAACCCCACAACCACCCACAGGGGGAAGAGGAACCCCACACCCCACACCACAGGGGAGGGGGGGGCCCCACCCTATATCCGGACCATTGACCTTTGGGGGGGGAGGGGGGGGGGTCTGCGGAGCGCGTGACCATATATATATATATATATATATATATATATATATATATATATATATATATATATATATTGTGTGTGGGGGGTATTTATATGCACATGCTTATGTATCATGACACGCCAAACGCAGCCAGGACACCCTTTCTTCTTGGCTCCTGCCTTCACAGCGGGTGCCGCGGCCTCTGCCGGCTGACTCGCCTGGGCTTCCCGCAAATGCTTCGGGTCTACTTGGAGGATCATGGGACTTAACAAGTGAAGGATATAAGTACCTGACTTGGTGTTATGATCAGCTGTAACTGTAGTTATCTTATCTATACCCCGTAGTTTTCAAGTCGCGTGATCCTCCAAGTCATGCAACAGACTAAGAACGCATTGCACTAGTCGTACACAGTGTGATGTTTTGTCCTTGTGTGTATGTTGGTTTGTGAAAAAGTTCACACCTAGATGCCTATGTACAGCATTTTCATACATATACACTCGTAGGGGCAAAGTTGTATGTATAGGTCCTTAAGTCTCTACATGTAAGTGTATATATATATATATATGGATACACCAGTAGGGTTATATGTGAAGAGCGTGTAAGTGTAAGTCCAATGGTTTAGGGTTTAGGGACTTAGAGGTTTGGTCTTGCCCTCCCAGTCCCAAGGATTTGAATCCCTACTGTTACTGCAAGCCCGAAGCTTTGACGCCGCCTCAAAATCCTAAACCCCAAACTCCAAGTCGTGCAACCCCAAGACAACCTGAAGCACTTGAAGCAGAAGTGCAACCCCAAGACAACTGTTGTGTCTAATCTACTGCCAGGGAAAAGTGGAAATCATCGTGTATCCCGAAACCCCCTTCCCTAATCCCTGAAGCCTAAACCCCAGATCCTAATCCTAAACCTCAACCCTAGACCCTAAACCGTAATCCCTAAAACGGAAACCCCAGATCCTCACTACATGCAGCGCAGTGTCTGAATTCGCTTCCGCCTCGTCTTTGCCATCTGCCTTGGTGACGAGGCCCTGATGGGTTGAGGGAATGAAACGGGCAGTTGAAGAGTTTAGGGTCTCTTGGGGCCTTGGCGAAGTTCTAGCGGTTTAGGGTTTTAGGGTTTAGGGTTTAGGGTTACGTTTCTCCTAAGCCAAAGGGGTCGGCCCTGATGGTTTATGCAGTTCCTGCTTGGTTTACCAAATTTTGCATTTAGGATCCTCGAAAGTAACGCTAAAAAGGAGCTGCAATGGAGACTATAGGTACACGACATGAAGGATGCCTGGAATTGGGGTCTATAGAGGGTTTAAGGTCTACCTACAATATGGTTTCTTTCTATGAGCCCTAAAAAGGTAGGTTATTCCGGGTTGAGGGAGGGTCTAGGGCTTAGGGCTTTAGGATTTATAGGGCTCTGAAAGGAAGGCCCGAGGTTCCAAGGGGTCCTGGATCTGTTTTAGGTACAAACCCTTCCGAAGTCTGCTCCTCAACACGACGGTGGTAGATTCCTATTCCCCAAACTTCTTGAAAACACTGTCAGATTCCAAAACAAACGCCAAGAGAACACTGCAATCACACATAAAAAGAAACTAACCTCCTCCCAAACATTGAAGCCTGAACCTTCATGACAAGACACCATAAAGCCGAAAGCGCAAACGACAAAACTCAACAAGCACAACTTAATGGCCAAGCAGCGCGGGACGGTCGCATCTGCTGCATCGAGGACTGCTGTTGCGGCTGCTGCGGCTGCTGTTGTTGCTGCTGCTGCTGCTGCGGCATCTGCCTGGATTGAAGTTTATTAGCAGGGTGTCTGACATTTTGGCTTCATTTTCTTAGTGCTCTGATTTATGTACAGACCTCAAAACGTTTTGGTTCGCCCGCAGGCCGTTGACCACAACCCAACACCTCGGCACGCCCAAGAACTTAGGCAAGCAAGAAAGGGAAAGCAGCTACTATAAACAGCTCGGCTGCTGGAACTGCTGCTGTTGTTGAGGCTGGAAGGCCTGTTGCTGGGGCATCATCATTGGATGGCCTCCCACCTGGTTCTGGCCTTGCTGGGCGTTGGCGTCCTGTCCGCCGCAAGCCCACCCTCCCTGCTGGTGGCCCTGGTCCATCATCTGCTGGCCCTGCTGGTTAGGCATACCCATGACGAGCATCACCTGCTGACCGGGCATGCCCATCGCGGCGCCATTTGCGGCCATCATGGGCACCTGGAAGTTTCCCAAAATAGGGGACCCTAATATAGCACCCTAAATAGTATAGGATCCTTATTCTAAGGACCCCCACAAATAAGGTACCCCCCCTAATTTTTGGAAACTCCCCACCTGGCCCATCTGCATGTTCATCCCGTTGTTACCGTCTTGGGCCTGCACGAAGCCGTACTGCTGACCGGCCATGAAGTTCCTAGGATGCCCAGTAACCCCTGGGGATAAAAACAGGGGGCCCCCTTTCTATTTTTGGTGCTGGGTGAAACTTTATAACTTTATACTTAATTAAGGAACCTCATAACTCATACCACAATCATTATTTGAGGAACCTCATAACTCATACCACAAAAAGGGCAAAAGAGATCACTGAAAGGGGCCAGGGTTCTGCATCTGAGACTGGTCCACGAAGTTGGGCTGCTGCATGGCTTGTCCCTGCATCTGTCCATCCTGAGGGTACTGCCCCTGGCCTTGCTGCGGCATGGTGACGTAGTAATACCTCAGCTTTGGGTTTACAGAAAAAAGCCGGAAAGTTGGAATATGATTCTCCTAAACCCTTTATGGTAAATTATAGGGTATCCTACCCTGAAACCATATTCCAACTTTCTGGAGTTCCCTTTAGGGTTTAGGGTGAAAAAGAAATTCAGAAAGGGGTCTACACATGGCAGATCTCCCTTCTCAAGACCATGCAGCAATGCTACAGTCCGTTTCCGTGGGCTTCAAAGTTCAACCATCACTTTCCAGAAAACACACAGCGCCGTCCAGCCCAACTCACCAGACTCAACCCTCCAGCCCAAGCCCTAAACGGCCTAATGAAGACAGTGCTTGTCGTCAACTGTATCATCAATACACACCATCACAACCATCATCAACGGCACGACCACCGCTACAATAGAGACAAAGGCGCATCATCTGAGCCGGCGCCTGGTTGTTTGCCATGGCTTCAGGGGCCAGGCACGGCACGGGTGTGAGGCTAGTCGACTAGCCTTGGATTTGATCAAAATAGCTTTCTGGCGGCGGCGAAACAGTAATAATAGTCAGAATAGTAACAATGGTACACCAAAACTTTAAAAACAAAACCCATATTTATGAGATCTTTACAGAGATCTCGAGCATTTGCGGCTTGTGGGGGCAGGGCGTCTCGGGCTTCGAGGATTGGGCTTCCGGATTTTCGGGTTTTGGGCGTAGAAGGGTCCAATGTCTACCTGGACCACAAAAGTATGTAGAATAATAGCCTTTTATAGGTGTTGGGCCATTATTTTACCTTCTTTGGGGGGTCTAGGTAGTCAGATAGTACACCGCAACCTAAGTAGGGGCTGACTGGACGTGGTACCTTTTGAGGTACTACTCACCCTGAGCCTTGTAACCGGATACCCAGGGCCCAACGGGTCTTTTCGCTCTCTCGCCGACGACCTCAGCGATCAGCGGCGCCACGGGGGGTGGCCATCCTCGGTTCTTTCTGGTGGGATTTGGGGCTCTGGGGCAATAGGGTGTCAACGGATTTCGGGTTTAGGGTTGCTAGAGCTCTTCTTGTTGTTTGGGGGAAAGGGTGTTGTACAGGTTCGTAAGGTTTGACACGTATTTGGCATTGAACTGAGAGCGCCGGATTGGGAGACTGCTCCCTGAATAGGTCCGCTATAGGGGAACAGTTAATGGACATCCGTTCCTATTGCTGTCGTTTGTCTACACGCATGACGTCTAGATAATTGCGATGCTACGGCATGTTTAGTAACCATTTAGCAGCTTACATTATCTGCCGCGCTAGTAATGTTTCTATCACTTTCCATGCCACCACGGCAATGAGATGAGTGTCGCCACCACTCGAGCTCTGACGACCCTGTCCTAAGCCGCGAAAGCTAGAACGCGCTAAAACCCCAAACCCCAACAGCATGCGTCTCCTAGACCCTAGATTGGAAGAGCTTGCCGTCCTGTTTGGTTGCTATTTTAGAACCATAACCCTGGTTCTTTAATTCGTTGAAAAGGCTTAAACCTGCATGAAAATCTCATTTAGACCTCTTGCAGAATTCCCTAGTAACCACAATGCTTTACTCCCGCCGGAAGACCCCTCATGAAATCGTATAGCAGCATAGCATCCCTGCGATAAACCATAAATCCGACTTTCTACCACACTACTGTAGGGGCCTTAATAATTAGAGTAGGGTTTTGGGGTATATTTTACTATGCTTATAGTAAGGAACCACCAAAATACTGTTGGTAATTATTAAGGCCCCTACATTAGCCAGAGGGTCCACATACACTACTATTATGGAATTAGGCCCTAAAAGACCATCCCCATTATGGTTTTGGGGAACCTAATTCCATAATAGTAGTGTATGTGGACCCTCTGGGTTACGAAGCACCACCGAGGATCTCCAAGTATTCTGCCTCAGCCTCACCGTTCGCCGTGGCTTCGACAGCAGCGCACTCCTCTCTATCGCCGGGGGGGCTCCGAGTTCTTGAAGTCATGAACTACTTGGAGGTTCATGGGTTATTATAAGTGGGGTTATAAGTTATAAGTAGGGTAACTACAGTTGTAACCCGTATTACGGGACTTATAACCCCTCTTTAAACTACCCCTGAACCTCCAAGTAGCTTTGGGGTCTCGGTCTCAAGTCTATGGAGCCCGTCACTCCGAAGCCCCGAAATCCTCAAACCAAAACGAAGCCCCGGAAGACACGGCATAAACAGCGAACCGTACAAAACACCGCCAAACCATTTGTTGGAGGAGGGGCTTCCGTGTCGATGCGTTCATGCTCGCCTAACAAAGCCCCAAACCCTCTGGACTGAAGCACTTGAGGCCTTACCTTCTCAAGGGCCCCCGGACCAACAACATTTAAGCATACATATATATATATATATATAGGTAATAGAATATTGTTCTACTATATCAGATATATATATATATAATGTGTGTATACATTCATACTTCTCTGAATGTTATTCAACCTTGAAGTCCCTCTGGCCTCGAAGGCCGTCGCCCGCAACTCCCGCTGCTTCCTCACTGCCCAAGGTTGCAAACATCTCTTCACTATAAGGTCGGGGCCTTGATAATTAGACTAGGGTTTGGGGGTTCCTTAAACTATAGTATAGTATACCCGCAAACCCTATTTAAGGCCCCTACATTCAGGGGTCCAAGGCTTTCGGAAGGAATGTCCGTTAGGCATGGGTCTACCTTATGGAACAAATCAAGTGCAAATCAAGCAACTGTCTTCGACACGCTGCATTCGCTTAGAGACTGAAGCAGCCACAAGCATAACGTAGGAAGCTGGGGGGTGCATGCTATGGTGTACACACACGCAGGAAAAAAAACAGTGGGTTTACGACATTAGCCTGAATTCTGAGACGAGCCCAAAAAGCCATCTTGCATGCTAGCCATTGCCACAGGCTCCCTCCGTGCACCAACCTGGGAAGCCGTTTACCTTCGAGTTCTCTCTCTCTCTCTCTCTCTCTGCCGTGCCATCCTCAAGGGTCTCGCTATGCAAAATGGGCACGTAACTGCAGACCAGACAATTCGGAGGCATGGCTTTGAGGTGGACCTTTCTGAAAGAGGGGACCTTATTTTGGGTGTGCACCCAAATTAAACTTCCTGCCTGTACTCAACTCTGTCTACATCTCCACAAAACCGCAGGCAGCTGAACCCAAGATTCACCCAACACATACACAGCTTGAACACACTCAGAAGCCCAAACAGCCAGAACTGCCCGAAAGCTCCTCCGACCTCGTGCCAAATCTCACTCTTGGTGGTACAATCCCCGTTTAGGCCCTACACACCACGAGCTATGTAACTTTATCAATATCAGAACATGCGGAGCAACCAAATGGCAACTGTCCTCCGCCTAACGAATACTACGATGCAGCCGACCACCGCCGTGGCCAAAGAGCACAACCTTTCGGGAGATGCTGCGTCGCAGATCCAGGAAGCACTGACAATCAGAAGGATTCCGGCAAGGGCTCCTAAACCCTGAATGCTACTGCAAGGACTGCAAGGTTAGCCTGGGGCTCAAGGCGAACGGGAAAAAATACAGGCGTCCAAGAGCTTTGGAAGGCATATTATCTGAAAAGGGACAAATTCCTACATTATTGCGGGAACTAAAGTACGGAACAACACCACCGGTTACTTGTATTATTCCGGCCTCTAGCTACTTAGGCCAGGCCGACAGTATGTGCATGAAACCAACCCTAAACCCTGAACCCTTCCTCTTCTGCTAACTCCATGCAGCAAGAGCAGCACTAAAGCTGCATGCGTCGCGAACCTCTTATTTCGAGTTCGTTCGCGTTCGCCTCGGTTTGCGGGCATAACGTTTTAAACACAAACATATGTATTTTCTCCTCTTCATCTTGGTGGTTTAAGCCTTCGGGTGTTTGCCTCGCAGGTACGATCGCACGCCTAGGAATCTCCGACAGGCTTGTCCAGGAGATGGTCCTTCTCGCCCTATACTCCTATACATGTTCGCCCCAAATCTCCAAAGAATCAGTTCTAGGGTTGTTTATAGTAGAAGCCAGACAGTTGGAACATCGATATCCTCGTGTCCCTGGGGAAAAGTATAGGGGACCAGTGCACTGCTCATCCTAAATCCATGGTCGAAGTTTCTGAGGTTCAGTTTAGGGTTTTGGGGTTGGTCTCCAGGGGTGTATGGGCTCTTAACAGTTGGTAACTACAAAAACCATACGTGGGGAGTGGCCAAGGTATAGAACTCCGGTAAGACAAACCGGCATCACTTGCACATAGGAAAGTGCCACGGAGCTGTTTTCTCCCTGTTTGATCTGAGACGTTTTTTCGGGAAACACAGGCGCTTCGGGGTTCGCAGCTCTCATGCAATTGGGCGCATACACATGTAAGAGCTGTCAGCGCCAATCGTCGGGGGCTGCGCATGGAAACCAAGACCGTCAACGACTTCAAGAGCCCATCCCACTCAGATCATGTTCGTCATCGGAAGACTCACGACGCAATCGCAAAACACCAAACTCCGAACTCTACAACCCCAGTCCGCGACCTAAGCAACAACACCCCTACGAATCCATAAAGCCACATGGGAGTTTCCGAAAATAGGGGACCCTAAAAATAGTACCTTAAATAGTCGGATGCTTAATATAAGGACCCGAAAATAAGGTACCTCCCCCCCCCCCCATTTTCCGATATCCCATATGTGGGAACGACATTTAAAATCAAGCTTCATCTCTGAACCCTGCAATCTCGAAGTTGAAGCAGCAGCCACATCCCGGACTGTCTGGCGAGGCGCTCTGTGGGTGCGGTGCTGGAGCAGGAGCATGGTAGCCTGCTTTGAAGAATCATCGGACTTAGTAAGTCAGTTCTTCAAACAGTAGTATAACAAAAGTAGGTTAACTCTAGGCCTGGAACTTCTGATTCTAGGATCTTTGTAAACGAGCTGTAACATACTTACCATAAGTTAGGCACATCCCTAACCTGGCAAGATCAGCTCAACGATTAACTAGGCAGAGGAGTTTGTGGAGCTCCGTCCGAGACAACATGGGTCGAACTAGCAACGGTGGGGGGGACTCAGGGTTAAGGAGTACTGAATAGTACTTAAGAGTTATTAGGGTCGAGGGCTTGGGGTGTTTGGGGGTTGGGGCATCTTAAACAGTTGCGTGCAGATCTGCATTGGAGTTGTAAACTACAGGGGCGATGCTTGTTTGAGTTGACCCTAAACCCTACAAGCAAGCCTACACTACTTCAAAACTTAACCTGGGTCGAGCCTTTGCAGGCATCGCAGCAGGTGACAGAGACGTTTGGCCCATGGTAGGGCTGGGAGCACATCCTGAGCCGCAAACTAAAAAAACTCGAAACCCTATAAACCTTCAGTTCATGGTTATTCAGGGTATCGGGAACCCTGAACCTTAGGGCAATGGTATTCCAGAACCTCTAAGGCTGCTGAGATCGGCCTCACCTGTAGCTAAAGACCCACGTTTCGGGAAGTGCCTAGACTCTAAGAAATTGCTTTCCTGGCCCGAACTTCACTGGTGCCTATGATGTGGGTGCCTGCGCAATCAGAAGAATTATCGCAGTCGGGACATCTTAATTTTATAAGGACTATACGAGAATATTACTAACTTACAGTATAAGGACTATGCGAGAGCATTTTTACTAGTTACCAAGTCATGACATTAATGTTGTACAACAGGATTGCAAAAGAGCGATCACAAAAAATTGTCCAAGTGTCCGCGGATATTTCCGGACGGTTTTGCAGAAGATTGGATTCAGGTCCAAGCAGACATCCTTAGCTGGACCGCTGTTCAAACCTGGGTTTCAGGGTATCCGGTGCTCAGGAAATCAAAAGGCGCTGTTGGGGGCGGTTCGGGAACGCAAGGTCTCCGCTGGATGGGAAGCACTCGTACCTAAACTTTCCAATTTCTTAAGTCCTAAACGCTAAAACAGGCTCTCAAACAGCGTGTCCTCATGCGGAAAGCTACAAGAAAGCGTTTGCGCATCGTGGCCTAACACTTTTGTCACGAAGACCCCAAGTAGAAAGAACCGCTACTTTCACGAAGCCCCCCCCACTCGATTTCGATGACTACAGGAACGTTTCTGACACAGGGTCTTTCCATGCCGGAGTCTAGGCCTGGCAGAATACTGGACTTTGAAGTAACCAGGGAGAAAAAAGTATAGACTTGTATTTCATAACGGTTCTTTTAAGGAGCAGGTACCAAAAAAACGTATTCAAGTATGGTACTCCGAACCCAGGAACAGGTTCCGAATGCTAAGGATCAAAGCAGTAAGGCTGACTTGACTGCAAGATGCTGACTTATTCTGCGCGGGTCCGGGACACGTGCCGTCAATCGAATCTTCGGATGAAGGGCACAGCTGCACGAGACCGCAAACGCCGAAGGGAGATGGGTCCTGGATGAAGATGGAAGCAAGTCGCCCCAGAACGTCCCAAGCCGAAGCTGGATATGCTCACATGCATATGTAGGCAGCATGCAAAAACCATATGTTCAGAATCCTGACTGCCTGCTTTGCGTGGATACTGAAGATAGAACCAAAAGCAAACAAGAGTCGCCACAGTTGTAGCCGAAACTGTCAGCTGTATGCAGTGATGTCCCTGCAGCTTGCTGAACCAACGTCTCATCGGTCTCGCACTGGACGTTGTACGTCATGTTGGGATATGATCCAACCACAACCTTAGCCATGCATCACGAGATACATATCTAATGGCAGCAACCGGGTGCGTGTGTGTGTGTGTGTGTGTGTGTGCGTGTGTGTTACGCACATACCTGCGCATGATACGCACACACACACACACACACACACACACGCACACACACACACACACACCAACACTGCCATGACACGTGCGACTTCCTCATGGTAGCGTCACTACTACGACGGGTTAGAACTTTCTAGCACTGGTAGAAGCAACAGAAACAGCAGAAGTTAGTGCTCATGTTGTTCGTAGTACCGATATCCGCTTCACCCCCACAGCACCACCGAGCGAGCATATCGTCGCCGGGCAGTCTACACCGTACTCCTGAAGTAGCGAAGGATGGGTCCGTCCCGGAAGAAACCACAAGAAGAAGCAATTGATGTCCATACAGGGGTCGCCCTAAGACGACGCTCCTCCTATCAGTACTATACTGATCTATACTGGACGTAATAATTAGAATGGAGTTTTGGGGTCCATTATGCTAAATATAATTACGTTAAGGGACCGCAAACAATAGTAGGCCCCTATCATATGTCGCCAAGCTGCCCACTTCGGGCAGGCAGGAACAGATCCAGCTGTCGTGAGCACGACCGGGTCACCAATCTGAAATGGTTCTCTTGCCATGTGCTCTTGGCATCGCTTGTAGGAAAAGCAATACCTCAGCTCTGGCAGTTGAACCGCCCGAGCTCGCATCTCTCATCTAGGGTTTGGGCGCTCTTCGGCCATCTCCCATGGTACTTGGTTGACATGCCAACTCATCGGCCTACCCCAACATGCGTGCACTGTGGGATCGCGAATGGAAACTGCGGCTTGGAATTTAATGACTATTCAACCAAGCAAATATGACGTCGAAGGCTGGCAGCGTTTCTCATCATCACTACGATCTTCACTATCATCAGTCAGCATCATGCTCCGGTTATGCTTGACCTTTTATCTTCTTCTCTTCCACCATCAACACTTCATCTTCACCAGTAGCAGGCTGAATATTGCATGCTCTTATAAACCTTTCACCAGCGTAAGCTTTGTTGCCGATGGGCCATGACGACTGCCAGTAAACAGCCTTGATTTTAACAACCAGGTGAAGACTGATGATGGTGCTGCTGATGGCGGTCGGGGCTGATAGTTAAAGCTGCGGACAGATGGCTCATGAGAGTCATCTCGATTTAGGCTCTTCCTACCTGTGTGTTCTTTGCGAAGCAGTTCGAATTCCAGATTACTACAGGGTAGTTTCCAGTATAGTATAGGTGTTGCCTGAGCAATCCGAACTTCAGACATCACTTGCTTGTTAATTCAACCCACACCCCATCCCCAGATTTTGTCATGCTACACCCCTAGAGCATGCAGCAACTCAGGAGTGGTTACTGAGTGAACCTGTATCTCTACAGACCTCGCCAGGCATGCCCGAGAGTGAGCGCCAAAAAAACATGCAGCCCCAAACCGAGTCGAGGGTGCATGTCGTGGCTGCACTCACTGTGGCCTCGACACTGCTGGGTGCAGCCGGTGGGATGAAACAAGACCTGCTCACCCAGCTTTACGGCTGAGGGCTCCAAGGTCTGGGGTTTCGGGGGCCGGGTTTAATCTTTGGGGGTGGGTGTCTAGGGATATGTGTTTAGGGTTTAGGGGTTTGGGGTTCTGGGTATGTCTTCATGTCCTGAATCCCTGAAGAGTACCTTAAAACCCCGAAGACAATGAAGCGATGCTGGAACCGTCATGAACCGCGCAAAAGTAACACAAGCGAGCTTAGTGAGAAAGGTTCAGTTTTTTCGTAAGCACCTACGTGTAGTTCAGGCATTGCCATGTCAGTGAGAATCCCTCGTTCTCAATCTGAACCCTTAATCTCGGAATCCCCGATGCGTGCACACAACACGTACTGAATCGATAGGAAACTTCAACGTGTGAACCTAACCCTAAACCCCTAACGACAACTTACAGCAGACTCGGTAGACCATACTCGTTCAAAGTTATCTATCCCAAAAACCCGAACCTTAAAGCCCTAAAAGCACTCGACAGTAAGGTCGCAAGGTCCAAGGCACCAGGAGCATCATCCTCCAGGGTAGAGGAACCATGCTCTGCCCGGCAGCACCCAGCATCGGAAAAGCTGAGCTCATGCTCGAAAGTGTGGGATTTAGGGTGTCAGGCTGTGGCGTTAGGGTGTAGGTGGTGGTGTTGAGGATATGGCTCAGGGTGTCAGGGTTTCAGGGTTATGGGCTTAGGGTATTAGTGTTTGGGGCTCAAGACTTCAGGGCACTTCAGGGTGTTCGGGTTTTGCGTGTTTCGCGTTTAGTTTAAACCCATAACTGCTGGGGCGGTCGAAGCAAGGTCGCATGGCGGTGTTGGGTACTAGGTGTGGAACTTACAGACTTAGGGGTGTTCAGGGATTATGGGGTTCAGCGGTTTGGCCTTGGGATCTTGCAACGGACATCAGGGTTTAAGGGTATACAGGGTTTAAGGTCTAGTGTAGGAAAGTTTCATGTTTAGAGCTGATAAAACTTAAGGATTCCGAGCATTTCGGCCGGCTGAGGCCACACATAGCTCCAAGTCTTCCCTGGCCGTGCCTCCCCGGACTAAGAATCCAAGTGTGAGCAGGGTTTAGGGTTCAGGGCCGTTTAGGGAGAGCCAAAAGGCCACACTGCTGAGAATCAGCTGTCAACCACATAAAGGCCAGAAGAGGCTTGACACGAAAAATCAAAGGCCACGGACATGCATTCAACAACCGATTGGATGAGCTCGAACGGTGTCACAGGGTCAAACAGAATGACACAGCATCTGCTTCTCTTGAAAGTTCTTGAGGGCGGCAGGTTAAGGCTTGCTTGGCCTTAGCACAAGTAAGATATGATGGTTTGCATAACCACCAAGAGCCGAATATTACCATATGCTTTGCTTACGGAATGTGTTCCTGAATTTAACGGGTGTCGGGTTCGTGCACCTTGGAGTGTTAGACTTCCGCCATTTTGTTCTCGCCTCTTTTTCCGGAGCGACCCAGGGCTCGCATCTCTGCGAGGAACAAAGAAACCTGTTCCAGTAACCGCGGCCTCAAAACCGGCCGCCGTTAAAGTCGTTCTAGGCATGCAGCTCAGTACTTTCGGTTTCTTAAACTACCAACTGCACCTCAAACCCATCCAACAAGTATTATACAGTTCACAAAAAGCTACAAAGCCCTTATACAACCCTATAAAAAACCTTCCAGCTAAAGGTTACCTACTCTAATACTAAGTCCTTAGTCAAGCGTGTCCAAGAGAGACCCGCCGCCTTGTGCAACGGCCTCGGCCTCACCCCGCGCGATCCGCGGCTTGCTGGGTGTGCTCACACCTGACACTTCGGCGCAGGGTTCTGTAACTGCGTTGGCTTTTGGGTGTAAGGTGTGTGTTCAGCGCGCCGCACATTGTGAGGTTGCACTCAATAGGTATCGAAAGCAAGGTGACCTGCGACCGGTTACGGTTTGAGTAGTTCCAGTATTCTGCCGGTGGCTGCTGTCATTCTGATCGTATACGGAGCCCCGGAGCCCTAAGCAACAGTAGTAGCAATAGTTTATATTCATACATACAAACCTTCAACCAGCCGCGTATGTCATGGACTCTACAGCGGCGGCCTCTGGCCTGGCAAACTATCACTTTGTCCAGTACTACTTTCTTGCGGTGGAGTAGAGCTGCTGTTGCGCTACTTACCACTCCGACACTGTTACGATTCACGATAACTCTTTCAGTATCAATGCAGCAGACGAACTTGCTAACCTTACCGGTCTTAGATGTTTCAATGTCCCGAGAAGCAGCTTGCGGCACGGAGGCCTGTCTGTCTTGTGCAGGTCGCAGGTGGCTTTAACCTCAACTGGAGGTAAAAAGTAACCTCGGATCCTGCCGCTGGCTCCTGCGACTGCTTTAAGCATCTTCAAGCTAGGGCCCATGCATATACCAAGTGTCGTTTTCAAAATTCTCAACAGTCCCCAAGCAGTTTCAACATATTTCTAATACTCAACAACACGGGAAACCAAAACCAACAATCTCGAACCGATACAGTATAGAGTTCTTCTGGAGTCATCGTTGGGATCTGACATGACAAATATGACAAATGCGGGGTCGACACAACCAATGCTTCTCTTGTTGCTTCCTGCATGCAACTGCCAAAGCCTCAACCTCGAAAGTGTCGGAACTCTGAAAATCCCTGAGACAGCGCGTGAAGACTCGAACCTGCAGCCCCGCTTTAGAAAAAAGGTCGCGGCGATCCCCGAAACCCTAAATCCAGGACCCTGACAAGACATAAAAGGGTCCCCGCACTTGGGCACATGAGCTGGCTTTTAGGGTTTGGAGATTATAAGGTTTAGGCTTGCAGGACGTGGCCTCACACTTTCATATCACAGTTGTTCCCAAGCCGTCTGAGGCTGAGGGGTAAGGGACGCCGTCAGCTTAAACCACCCATGTTGCACCAGGAGGCCGTTTCACATCTTCGACCACACCGGCAAGGGAGTGCGCAATCTGCTTCACCTGCAGGCCGGGGCCTTTGGAGTAGTAATAATCCCAACAGTTGCATTGCGGATTGAACTGTCGTGTTTTCGGACTTCTCCCTGCTTGCACTCGTTGCGCTTCGGGTGGTAAAGGGTTACAGGTTCGGATTTCAGGTTCCGGAGTGCCAGCCGGGCAACCAGCCCCAAACAACTTATAGTGGATGTCATGAGAAGTCTACGCATTCGATTGCACTCTGTTCACGGCGTCGTTTCCGAGAAACGTTGGTGGTCAATTTCACAGTATACAGTATAAGGTTCCGGTTCTAGCATGTTCTAGCCCAGGGCTATCGCCTTCAGGGATATGTAACTGCGGAGGCATTCAGGCTTCTAGCCTGTCCCGGCTTAGGATTCAGGGTCGAAGGCTCGGGGAGTCGAGCATTGTTAAGCAAGCGCAGCTGACAACATGAATGAATGAATGTAACCATTTATCATTTAACAGTGTATGTACCTATATACTATGAAATGTAACTACTTAGTAACTACTTATT